CTCTAGTTTCTCAGTTTCCTCATCTGTCAAATGGGGCAATACTGCTCCTACTTTATAGGACTGTTATAAGGATTAAATGAGCTAATAGATGGTGGTGTTTGGAATTGTGCCAGTAATGTACTAAATGCTTTATAGGTGTGAGCTATTACTACTGTTGCCATTGCTGTTATTACTGTATACTTAACTGTTCCCAGTTTTGCCTTACCGGGCTACAGAGAACAAATCCCGAAAGAGCCTCATTACACTTGGGGAGGTGAAAAGGTCCCTTGTCCAGGTTGAACACCTGCAGCCCCTCCAACTAGTTCCCGGGTTCTGAAGCCCTCCCAGCTCCGGCTGGATTCCCAGGCTTGAGCCAGGCCAGCCATGGCCCACTAATGAGGGGCTCCACACGTAGTACAGGTTCCAGTGGGGTTGGGCTAAGTGAGGCAGAGGGGGAGCCACCACGAGCCCACCTGGATTTGGGGTCACGCAGCTAGCTGTCTGTGCACAGAAACCTCCTCGCACCTGAGTCAGCCTCCAGGCCCGCCCTGGGCAGGTCAGCCATGGGACTGGGAGCCTCTGCCACACCACACACACGGCCAGCCACCACCCACAGCCACTGGGTCCTCCACCTCCCTATGGCTAGAAGCCTCCAGGTGGCAGGCCCCACCTTCAGTGGTGAATCCTAATTGGTCCACAATGGTCTCATTCCCTGTGCCAGTGATAGGCTGAGGCATGTACATGTGGCCCAGTGTCAGCCAATGAGATGAGGATGTCTGTGCAGGGGTCCGGGGTGCCCCTGGAAAGGTTTTCTCAGGGACACCGTGGAGGCAACAGCCCTTTCCCTCACTGAGTTTCCTTCTGAGATGCCTGGGGCTCCTCCATTATACTAGAAGCTCCACTGCCATGCCACAGGGGGCCAAATACCTGGGTCCCTGATGACCTCATCAAGCCTTTAAGTCACCCAGCACTGCAGCAGCCCAGCAAAGTTCAAGCTTATTGTTTCAGCCATGGCTTTTTGCTATCCGCAGCCCAAAGCATCTTTGCTGACAGCTCGTGGTTACAGTTCATCTTCTTGAGATTAAGCCCATCACACCAGAGGAAGGGTCTGAGCACGGCTATGCACTCTGGGGTGTGAAAATGGAATCTAAAAGCACGTGCAGGCAAAGAAAGTGGGTAGGGTGGGGGCACCCTTCCAGGCAGAGGGAACAAAGGCCTGAAGGCTGGAGACACCATAGGGTGTGGCCGGGACAGACAGGCAGGTGGGCCACAGGTGGCCCTCAGCCAGGCTATGAAGCATCAGGGTTACCTTAGGCACAGGACCACAGGGCAGATGGGATGCTCTGTGGATGGCTTTGACTTTGCCCGCTAGCTCTGTGCTAGTAAGTACACTCAACTGGCCTTCTGACCCCCTACTCCAGCCATACACAGACGCTACTCCCAATGTCCAGAGGCATGCCCGGTGGAGTGGGTGCAGGGTCGCCAGGCTGTTCTTCTGCCAGGTGTGATTCTGCCTGCCATGTCCCTTCCAGCCCCCAGGGCACACGTAAGAGACTCTGGCAAATACTTGGCTGAAATCTGGGTCACTCTGTGCATGGGTCGGAAATCCATCAAACAGACAGTTACTAAGTGCCTACAAAGCAGGGTGCTAAACGCAGCAGAGACAGGGCCTGGTTCAAATCCCAATTCTGTTTCTTCCCAGTGGTGCGACCTTGAGCGAGCCATTTTACTTCTCCAAACCTAGTATCTGCACCTTTTTGTAAAATATGGCAGAATCGATGGCCACTCTTATCCTCACTGGTGCCGTGGTGACAGTGGTGGTGGGGAGGGATGGATAAAATGACACATAAAAAACTTCCTGAGATGAAGGGGTATAATCTGGGTGAGAGAAAAAGATAAGCAAACATGTTGTCATGGGCCAAACTTGAGAACTGATGGGGAAAGGGAGGGAGCATCTGAGATAGGCCCCAAGGGTCCAGAGGAAGAAATCTCCATGGGGGTGATGAGGGCCCTGCATTCCCAGAAGATGAAAGGTCCCACCAAGGCTGGTGGGAGGGAATGCAGAAAGGCCGGCAGTTCCGTTCTTTGCTCCCAAACCTCTCAGAACAGCATGCCTTACACAGAAGGGCTGGACATAACTGTTCAATTTGGGCATCATTTGCAAACTGTGATAGCAAAACCTCTGAGCTCGAGTAAGAAAGATGCAGATTCAAATCCTGGCTCTTATGGCACGACCTTGAGCAAGTCACATAACCTTTGAGCTCCAGGTTCCTTATTTGCAAAGCAGGTATAATATCTAATTCACAGAACATACATAGAGGGCGGGACCCCTTTTCCACCCAGCTAATTCCTACTTCAAAGAGCTAAAATCCAGGGCCACCTCTTACAGGGAGCCTCCCAGGCTCCTCCCTACCCTGCTAGACTACTCTTTCCCTGACCCCAGCCCCTGTGGCACTGTGATCCTTGGGGCAGGGCATCTCAGCATTTCTTGGATCCAGCTGTACCCCCACACAGAGTGGGTGTCTCCTGATGCTGCTCCCTCCCCACACCTCCACTGCAGGGAGACATGAGAGTGAGGAAGTGACAGTCTGCTGGGGGGTTTGAGAAGGTTTCGGGGGTTGAATAGGAATGTACTAGGAGGGAGGGCAGAGAGTATGCGACGCAGAGCTGGAAAAGGTACAGGTACAAAAGCAGAAGTGTGAAGGGAACAATAAGGTAACTTGTAGGTCACTAGAGTATTTGTCAGAGAAATGGCTAAAGATGTGGATTCAGGATCCAGCCCCTACAAGGCCTTGAATACCATGCCAATGGTGTTACTCTATAGAGAGTGACTGAAAACATTTTTAACAGGTGGCACAGAGACCCCTGGGGAATGCTTCGATAGTCTGAACTAAACCTAGGTTTGGGGGAGGGGTGACAGGGCTACGGGTCACTACCTGCGGGCAGGTATTACAGGAAGCGTCAAGGAGGACCACAAGTTCCACCTGGATGGCTTACTGAAAATCTCTTAGATAATATATCTGCACCCCACTACCCCTCACGATTGCTAAAAACCATTTCCCTCAGTCATCCCATGCCATACACAGGGCAGACCTGTGTAAACCAGTGGGCCAAGTGGTGCTATTTCCATTTTACAGGCAAAGTGAGATGACCTTTGACCTCTGAGTCATCTTGAGACTGGACTGGTCACCTGGGCCTCGGACAGGTTGTGGCTCCCCAGGGAGAGGGACCCAAGGAGGATCAGGATTTCCAGTGTACAGACACAGCAGGGGCTCACCTCGGGCCATGCCTGTCTGTGAGTCCTCCAGACTAGACCCTGGGGTGAGGGCTGGAAGGCCAGTCCCTCCACAAAGGGAAAGGGCAGAGGGAGCCTGCCCTTTGCCGCTTCTCTACCAAGCCCCCAAATGCCCCCTCCTTCCAGCACCTAGGCCCCGTGCACAGCCGCAGCCTGAGTCATCATCCCCATTTGTATGGTGGCCGAGAAATCAGCCAGGGGGCTGCCCAGGGCTGAGGGCCAGGGGTTGGAAAAACAAGGCCGTTCTGTTGCCTCCAGCCTTGGAACCTCAAGACCGGCCAGGGAGTGGGGGGCAGAGGGCAGCTAGATACAGGATCAGAAGGTGTCAACAGCCAGTGGGGGCTTTGTGTGTATGGGGGGGGGTGGATGTTCAGAATCTGAGCTGTTGGCTTTTGTTTTCAAATGACCTGTTTAATAATTACCTTTTGCAATCAAAGGTGCAAACGGGCTCTGCAAAGGCAATGATTTCAAATCTCCAAACCCCACCAAGCAGCCCCGAGAAGAAAGTAAACAAGATGCCACTGGCAGATCGGGCTCCATCTCGCAAACAATAGCCGGACCGAGCTCCCGCTCAGACACACACATCAAAGTGAGATTTCCAAGCAAGAACTTTAACAGGCAGAGAGCAGGCTCAGATTGAATTATTTCCCTGCGTCCCCTGAGCTCCTTTGAGCTCAGCGCCAAAGGGGGCAGCCTGGGGGGGGGGAGTCTGTCATTTTAACGTTAACCTTGACCTGTCAAGTATTCATTCATTTTGCAGCGAGGGAGAACCATCACTGCCCCAAACCCTGAAAAACCAACCGGCAGCAACTTCATCATCCCTTTTAGCAGTCACAATGGTGGGCGAGCGGAGCACTTAAGTTACAGCAGCTAGCTGGCACTCACACTCCACCGGGCTCCCGGCTCCCTGAACAACAACAACAAAAACCCTACTCCAAGCACCTACTGGGGGCTCACAAAGTCAAACCCGTACCCGGCGTTGGGAAAATCCAAGTCCCCCCCCCCCTTTACCTTCCTAGGCCTTCAACTATTTTCCCCCTGCAGCATCCAAGCCCAGCCTCAAGGCAGATCCATAAACACGCCTGCTCCTCCCCTTCCACGGTTCGGCAAAACACCCCCCGCCCCCCTCTCCAGGACCCCGAGGAGAAAGGATCCCGGCGACCCGGCCCGCAGCCGCTCCCGGCCCTCGCCCACCCCTCCCCCGCGCCGTCCGCAGCCCTCGCAGGCACCTTGAGATAAACACCCACTAATGATTTTACGATTTTCTGCTCAGGGTAGCCGCGCTCAGCACGATCCCTCCCCCCGCCGTGGCGACGGGGGCCGGCCCAACCGAGGGATGGGGGGATGGGGGCGTTAGTTTGTTTTTTCCTCGGCCGCGTCCCCACACCTGTTTTTCATTCATTCATTCATTCATTCGTTCGTTCGTTCATTCATTCTCGGATTCGCCACTGCAGCCGCCCGGCCCTCCGGATCTCGGGGAGGGGGCTGAGGCGGGGGACGGCGGGGCGCGGGCGCGTCGGGGCGGGGGCCGCGGTGGAGGGCCCGCCGGCGGGGGCCGGGCAGGCGGGGGGCTCTGTCGGGAGCCGGCCAGCCGCGGCCGGGCCCGGGGGCGGGGCGGGGGCGCTCCGGGGGCCGAAGTTGTTTTCCGAGGCGCGGCGGCGAGGACAGCCGCCCGGGTGCGCCTCTTTGTCTCTCCCCGGCCGGCGCCGCGTCCCCGCGCGCTCACCTGGTCTTGGAGGACAGGAAGGCAAGTTTGATCAGGCCGTAGGTGAAGAGCGGGATACTCTCCTTGGCGACGCTGGCAACTTGCAGCCGGTGCTCCAGGATGTGGAGTTCCATCGTCCGCCCGCGCTCCGCGGCGGCGGCTCATCGGCGGGGGGCGAGCCGCGGCCCCCGGCCCCCTCCGCGCCCAGCCGGCTCCGAGCCGCCGCGGGCACGGCCCGGGGACCGGGAGCCGGCGCCGGGCGGGAGGCGGCGCCGGGCCGGGCCGAACAAGGCGAGGCCGCCAAGTTGCGAGGGGCGCCGGCGGGCGAGGCGGCGGCGCCGGCGGAGCAGCGAGCGGCCGGCAGCGGAGCGGCGGCGCGCGGCGCCGGGCGCGGGGAGCAGCTGGTGCTCGCTGAAACAAACAACTTGCCACTCAAGCGCCGGCCCGATGCGCACGCGCGGCGCGCGGCCTGCCGGGACTTGTAGTCCGCGCCGCCTGCGCGGTCGGGGGCTGGGCGGCCGCGGCAGCAGGGGCGCAGACCTGCGGGAGCCCGGGCCCCAGCGCCGCGGGAGGCCGAGGGCGGGCTGGGCGCTGGGAGCCGGCGCGAGCCCAGGGGCGCGTCGGGGCGCTCGAGCTCGGGGCTAGGCGCCTGGGGGGTCGCGAGGTCCCCCGACAGCTCCGGCGCCCGAGGAGGCCCGAGGCTGGGAGGGGAGAGAGGTGGAGAGATCGGTGATTCCGGAGCAGACGAGCAAACCGAAAGGGGTGCCGGGGACGCGGCGGCGCGGCCCGGGGCTCGGGAGAGGGGCGGCCCCGCGGGGCGCTGTTTGGCGTTGCGGCCGCGGGAAACGTGAGCGAGAGACGCGGCCGGCGCAGGAGCCGGGCGGGAGGGTCGCGCGTGCGGGCCTGCGAGGGGCCGTGTGTCCCGCGGAGGGCGGCGGGGGCCGCGCAGCCCGCACGGGACGACCCCGACGGCTGCCAGCCGAGCCCGTGCCAGCGTGCCGCCGCCGCAAAGTGCCCCCTGCGTGGCTGGCTGCTTTTGAAATTTTCTAGGTTAAAGTTAACGGTGCTTTGCCCTTTGGCAGAGTAATCTGGGGACGTGATGCGTCAGGTCTACCTGCTAGGCAGGCCGGGATCCCTTCTTTTTGAGGAGAACGTTGGCTGTGTGTCAGGTAGGAACGCGCTAGGCTCCCTCTTTTCCGCAAAGGAGAGTCCGGGACCTGCGGTAGATATTAGAGCCAAGACTAGCCCCTCCAGCCTTATTTTCTCTAAAGAATTTAATCCCTTTCTAGTAAAGAATAGATTTCCTTTATTTTATTTTATTTTATTTTTTTTTTGTTTATCTGCCTCCCCCCTCTAGGATCTCAGCTCCAAGAAGGCTGTGTTTTTTGTCTGCTGCTGCTGTAATCCCAGCGTCAGCAATAGCCACTGGCAAGTGAGAGGCGCTCATTCAATATTTGTGGAATGCATTAATGCTTCCATGCCGTTAGAATCCAGAGATCTAGAAAGCCCAAACGGAAAGGGATCCATGGGCCAGGCAGGTAACACAGATGTGTGAAGCCGTTGGGTGTCAGGCAGTTGGAAATGGGACAGGAGAAGGGAGGCCTGCCTGAAGGCATAAAATTCAATTTCTAAAAACAACAACAACAACAACAGAAAACCAACAGGTGAAACAAAACAAGGCAGGATTTGCCCAGTTTTCTGACTTCTTGGGATGGTCTAAGTATTTTTCAATCTGCTGGCCAAGTATGGGCCTGCAGTGGATGGGGAACTCAACTTAGACTTCTTGGGATGGTCTAAGTATTTTTCAATCTGCTGGCCAAGTATGGGCCTGCAGTGGATGGGGAACTCAATTTAGCAGGACATGACAAGCCTTATAAAAAATTTAAATAGAAAGTGACATAGTGTTGCACAAAGTACAGGTAGGATACTATTATCTTTTCTTGGCCTCAGGAAACTTGGCCATTTATGTACATGCGTGTGTGCATGCATATATGTGTCTGTGTATGTGTGTACTAGATCTTGATAAAAACGTATTTTTTACTGTGAGTTTTGCTCTAAAACAGTTAAAAATACTGTGAGCTGTCTATTTAATCAAGCCAGGCCATCATACGGTTTGCAGATGTAGACTGTGTTGGTTTGACTTGCCAAATTGCTTTCACTGAGTTGTGTTTGGTGCTTAAGATTTCTGTGACACCAACTACTGAAATTAAGTTTGGGGTGTTAAGGAAATTGACTTCCAGGTTGCCAAATCCTGAGGATGATTTCATGCTGGGATTGGAGTGAGGCAAGTGAGGCACCTGGACCTTGAATTTAAGGAAACATTGAAGCTCAAGGTCACACAGGTGCTGGGTGGGCACTGTCCCAGTAGCATTCCCTCCTCCCTGGGTTCCTTAGCGCTGCACTCTTCTGGGCCTTCTCTGGTTCCTCTGGTTTCTGGCTTTGGTTTCTTCTCTGCCCAACCTTAAGTTGAGTGGAGGCCCATCCGGTATTTCGTCCTGTAGTATATTGTTACTCTCATGACTGCCAATGAATCATGTCTCCTGGTAAGCCCTCCCACATTGACTGTAGGTTTGGCTAATGAGGTATTAGCAAACGTGCTTGCTAAGTCCTGTGCATTGGGACTTGCCCTGTTGGGACCTGAGACCATGATGCTGTGCAGAAGCCTGAAGGAAAGACCAGTGTTCCAGCTGAGCCCAGCCCCTGCCACAGCTCGCACCAGCTACCAGACACGTGCATGAGACCATCTAGGACTTCCCAGCTGGCTGTCCAGTTGAACACAAGCCCATGAATGAGCCCAGGTGCAACCAAAGGAGGAACTACCCAATTAGCTTACAGAAACATGACAAACACTCTATGGCCATACCACCCTGATCTTGTCTGATCTCATACGCTAAGCAGGGTTGAGCCTGGTTGGTACTTGGATGGGAGAAACATGACAAATAATAAATTATTGTTTTTAGCCATTAAGATTTGTAGTGGATTATTATGCAGCAACAGATAGCTGATATATCCCCTCAACCCTCATCTTCTCTCACTGTGAGAAGCCAGTCTTCTCATATGTCGATGGGCCCCAAATTGACATTTCCAGCTCAGACAGTGTTCCTAAGGCTCCTGTACACATACCTAGCTTCCTAGTGGTTGGCTATGTCCATGCAAATGTTCACAGGCTCCACTGACCCAGTCTGTTCAAATCTTATGCCATCACATCTAATCCAGTTCAGACCTTCTCCACTTCTTCCCGTAATCCCTGTCTTGGTTAACGACACCAGCCCCAATCCCTCAAGTTGCAAACCTGGTATGGCACATTGTATTTCCCAGGACCACCACCACAAGATTTTCCATTCTGTGTGGTCTTCTTACAACATGACCTTGACGATCGTCCCATTAAGAGGTGGGTCTGTGCTCCCTTCCCTTGAATCAGGGCAGGCCTGTGACTGTGTTCTGAAACCAGCTCATAAAGGGCAATACTCTTTCCACCTGGTCCTTTTGGGCTGCTCACCATTGGAGCTCACCTGCTGTGCTGTGGGGAAGCAGGGCCCACGTGGAAAGGCCATCTGGAGGCATTTGTGTCAGTTTCCTAGGGCTGCAGTGACAAAGCACCAAAGACTGGGTGGCTTAATAAAAATGTATTGTCTCACAATTCCTGGGGCTAGAAGCCCAAGATAAGGGTGTTGGCAGGGCTGATTTCTTCTGAGGCCCCCTTCCTTGGCTTGTAGATGGCGGGGTCCTCTCCCTTTGTCTTCACTCGATCTTCCTTCTGAATGCGTCCGTGTCCTCATCTCTACTTCTTGTAAAGACCCTAGCCATGTTGGATTAGGTCCATCCTAATGACTTCATTTTAACTTAATTACCTCTTTAAAGACCCCATCTCCAAATACAGTCACATTCTGAATTACTGGGGGTTGGAGCTGTAAAACATAAATTCGGGGGAGCAGCCACAGTTTGGTCCATAACAGTATTCTAGCCAGCAGCCCCAGCTGAGGTTCCAGCTGACAGCCAGTGTCAACCGCCAGACACGCAGTGGGGATGCTTTCATCTGACTTCACACGCATGCGAGATCCTGAGAAAGGACCACCTAGCCCAGCCGAATCAACCTGCAGAACCGTGAGAGATAATAGCAAAACGTTTCGTTGTTCTAAGCCATTCCATTTGGGCTGGTTTGTTCAGCAGCAGTAGATAACCCGAACACTCTGCTGGTGGGTTTGGGGTGGGGAGGGCATGGGTGGGAGGGGAAGTGGACCAGGGACTCATCCTAGATTGCTGCCTCTTCCTGTGCCCTCTCCCCATGTCTAATCCCCACCACGTGCCAATGACTTTGTGGCTTGCACACCTCTGTATGCCAGCCTCTCTCTCCATCCTAGTTCCACATGAGGACTTAAGTATCCTGTCGTAGATGGTTCTAGTGGCCTCCTAAGTCCTGCTCCACCCGCCTTGTGTTGCCAAGGTGACTGTGCCATCTCGTGGTTCTGCCCCACAGCTTCTTTGCTTGAAGGCCTTTTGGGGTCAGAAGAGGCAACATCAGCTCTGTCAAGAGAACCAAGCCCAGCTCCTCCAAGGTTGGTTGTGCGAAAAGAGGAAGGGACTTCCTTGCTCCCTGACCCACACTCTCCAATATGGTAGCCATTAACCAACCAAACATGGCTACTGAGCACTAGAAATGTAGCTAGTGGCTTGAGAAAGTGAAGTTTTAACTTCATTTATATTTAAATTTTAAAACTAATAGGCAATACAGTTATTAGAAACTATCCAAGGATGTTTGGAAGAGGAAGACCAACTGTCCTGGTTTTCCTGGGACCAAAGAGGTTTCCGGTATATGAGATTTTCAGTTTTATTTGTTTATTCGAGAGATAGCGTCTTGTTTTGTCACCCAGGCTAGAATGCAGTGGCATAATGAAAGCTCACTGTAGCCTTGAACAGCCTCTTGAGTGGCTGTGACTACAGGCGCATGCCACCACATTTGGCTAATTTTTAAATTTTGTTGTAGAGACAAGGTAGGTCTTGCTATGTTGCACAGGCGGGTCTTGAACTCCTGGACTTAAGCGTTCCTCCTGTCTTGGCCTCCCAAAGTACTGGGATTACAGGAGTGAGCCACTGCACCCAGGAGACTTTCAGTTTTAAAAACAGAACAGTCCCCAGTAAACCAAGATGACTTGATCACACTACCTTGAAACAACTTAGTTATATAAATCTATGACATCTAAATGCAGATTGAGTATTGTGAATGAAAATTAAGCATCTGAATCGAGATATACTGTAAGTGAAAAATGCACCCTAGATTTCAAAGGCTTAGTATGGAAAAAAGAATATAAAATATTTCATTAATAATTTTAACATATTGAAATGATAATATTTTGGTTATGGGTTAAATAAAATTTTATTAAAATTAATTGTACTTGTTTCTTTTTATGTT